TGTGTGTGTGTGTGTGTGTGTGTGTGTGTGTGCAATTTCAAACTCCCGGCTACCGAGATACTTACCACGGCCGTAGCATCCGTGCACAAGAGAACGTAGCAGGAACATTTGATTGATTTATTTGGTCTTAAATTAATCCAGTTGGTTTAGCTGATTTGACTTGATTTGGTTCATTTCAATGTTTGGATTTTTTTTTGATTGATTGATTGATTGATTGATTCGTTCATTCATTTATTCAATCGAGGGCACCTTGTTGTGCAGGGTATGGTTGTTCTACAGCGGCCACCTCTGGAAGTCACTCCTCCATCAACAAGGCAGCAGCCGTCACATAGTCAAGGTATCCAACAAGAACATCCAGGGGTTGTTTCCGCAATACCAACTGCGCACCGGTCTCACGCTGGTGGTGTTTTGTTTCCCCCATTTTACGCTGCGTTTCAACCTGCATTTCCGCCTGCGTTTCAAGCTGCGTTTCCACCTGCAGATGCGACAAGGGATCGCTCAGATGTGCCCCCTTCTGATAATAACATGAGCCTTCCGTCAACATCAGCAGGAGCAGGTGATGGTGTTGGCAGTGGTGCAGCTTCGCCACCTGCGTCTGTGTATGATGTTGAATGCTGGCAAGACGATCAAGAACAAGCCTCCCCCGGGTCGTCGCGGAAAGATCGGCAAAGAAAGGAGTTCAATCGCAAGGCAAACTGGACGATCCGGGACACTTACGCCCTAATTCGCGCGAAGAAGGATGAGCTTGCAGAGGACACGAACCCTTTCAAGAAGATGTCGAGGAGCATGAAATGGGGCATCATAGCAGACAAACTCCTTCGGCAGGGAATCAAGAGAGATGCTGAGGACTGCAGACGCCGGTGGCAGAACCTCGTCGCGCTTTACAAGCTTGTCAATGAGTGCGAGAATGATCCCGGCAGCCGTAGTTACTGGTCGATGACGGGCGAGGAGCGCAAGAAGAAGGGGATGGTGAAGAACCTGGAGCGAGCGATCTACGATGGCGTCCATTCGGTCATAACGGGCCGTCAATCGCTGAACCGGCCGTGCATGACCTCGGCGTTTGTTGACGGCGAGCCCCTAAGGGCCCTTCCGGGCTTGACCCAGCAGCTCATCGCGGCGTCGGAAATGTTGTCGTCAACAAGGGACAGCGACGACGAAGGGCAAGAGAGGGCCGGCAGGGAGGATCCGAATGCCACCGCCGCGTGGCGGTCCGGTGACGATCCCAGCTTTGGCGCTGCCAATTTGAAGAGGAAGGCCTCTTCCGATTTGGCAATCGACAACATGGCTGAAGCCTTGGAGAGACAAGCTGGCGCCTTCGCCCTCGCGTTCCAGCAAACGTCGGATAGAACGGCGAGCATTCTTGAGCGCCAAGGCGACATCATGATGGAGCAGTCTCAAGCGATGGTGGCGGCGTTCAATCGAATGGCCAGGGCGATGAACTCCCTTGCTAGGTCTTTGGGAAGGGAGGAAAATAACTCCCTCCCTAGAGCCTTGGCGGGAGGGGGTAATACTTTCGGTAATCCGTTTTCGTGATTTCATTCTCCCTTAGGTCCTTAGGAACAGACTAGCCTAGGCGGAACGATGGCAGCGTTTTTTTCTTTCTTGTTTTTGTTTTTTTTTTTGGCAAAGTTTTGACTTCTCGTCGTGGCGCACTTTTGTTGTTGGAAGATCGGGGATCGTTGGATGACAGTCTTCTTTTTCAGATACACTCACTCTTTGGACTTTCTTGAATGGTACTTGACCACTATCGTGGTCAGATTCAGTCGGCAAAGTCCAATTGTGAGTATGGAGTCCATGGACTTAGCAAAATTGTTAATTAGGTGATCAGCCAGGCAGTCCGTTAGTCGGAACTGCGTGTTTGATTGGTTGGTTGAGTGGCCGTTAGGAATATACCGATTTTCAACTGTCCGGTAGTTGAGATTTCCGGTCGTTAGATCTCTCGAAATCTGCAAGAATATCTTTGAAGCTGTGTATTATAATTGGACCCTTCCCTCCCTTTCTTCTCTTCTCGGAGGTTCGGTTTCATCAACTTGTCTCTTCGTCTCTCTAAGTGGACTCCCAGCTGAAACACTGCTTCTCTCAGGGCATACTCGCACGACGCACGAGGACTTTTTCCACGAATTTCTGGACGTGATTGCGGTCAGATACATCTGTTTGGGCCGTGATCACGGTCAGATACGTTTAAGAAAGTGCCGGTGGGCGAGCATGCTCTCACTTGCCTTCTTTTCTCCTCTGCAGATCATCAGACCGTCAAGTTATGTGTTTTTTCTCCATGTCCGCATCTCAGGATGCACGCTGCTCCCCGTTCCATCTCCAGGGTCTCCTCCAGGGCCATGCCCTCTTTCTTACCCTCTCCTTACTCCTTGCCGCCTCTCCTTCTTTCTCCCGCCGCCTCCTTCCTCCTCCTCCTCCTCATCATCCTCCTCCTTCCTCCTCCTCCTGTCCCCTCCCCCTCTTTCTTGCTCCCTCTCTATTCTTGCCTGCCTATGCCTCCCTCCCTCCCTCCCTCTTTCTCTCCTCCTCCTCCTCCTCCTCTTCCCTCCTCCTCCCTCTCCACTCCTTTTGTTTTCCTATTGTTTTCCTTGTTCCTCCTGTTGCACATTTGTCAGATTGTCCTGCCTGCAACCATGCACTCCAGGTGCCTTTTTTTTTTTTTTTTTTTTTTTTTTTTTTTTTTTTTTTGGTTAATCTGATTCTCATGATGAGCGTTATCCTTGAAACATCTGATTACTACCAGTGCAAGTTCTGGAAAATTGGCATCAGAAAAAGGACTCGGGCGGGGGGGGGGGGGGGGGTTGTGGAGAAGGGGAGTGGGCGTCTGAAAAACAATGGGAAGGAGAAAAAGAAAATAGACAGAGGCGAAGAGGGCACTCCTTTATTTGGCCAACCGATCAGCACACTTGAGCTGCTGGCATGCCTCTGAGCCTGAAGGCCAGGGCCCAAAGGTGTGATGTTTCATTCAAACCAATCATGAACCTGGCCTTCATTGTGACCATTTCCCAGCATGGAGCACCTGTTTTCTACTTGACCTGAGCATTTTCCGTTCATAGCTCATACGATTTTTTTAAATTTTTCTATTACTTTTTTTTCTTTGCTCATACGATTTATGCTCATCCGATTTTCGGTTTGTAGCTTATCGGATATACCCATCCCTACAGAGAAAAACTTAGCGTGTGTGACATCATGGTGTCCGATCAAGGCACGCATGGAGTCGTGGGTCCCAACCCGGTCAGGGTCCATGCCATCAACAGTCTTCCTTGGATCAGAATGCACTCCTGATCAGGAATGTATACAAGCTCTATGCTCTCCCCGGTGCATTCCTGATCAGGAATGTCTACAAGCTGTATGACCTGCCCGGTTTGACAGATTGATGATGAGGGACTGGAGCGTTGTGGTGTTTGGGGGAAGAGGTTAGTTGTGCAATGTGCCCAGACTGTTCCGGAGTCTATCGCCTCCGATATAATAGGTCCCCGGCTGATGTTCAAAAAAAAAAAAAAAAGAAATAATGGCGGACGCGGCATGTTTTAAAACCCTGAAGGCAAAGAAAACTCGCTCCGGCAAAGAAACTGCGCGCCAACTCGAAATGTACGATTGCAGTCCACAAGTATCCGTTGGGCTTTTTCTGGTGTTTTTGTTTTGCCCTCTGACACCATGGCTGATCCTTGTAAATATGACACCTGGTCTGACACCATGGCCGCCATCGGTGCTTCCGTTGCCTTTTCGAACTCGGCACTGTTTTCTTTGTCGACGCATGCTTTTATTTGCCCATTTGGTACTGGAAAGGTGACGTGGACGTACTTACCCCCCCCAAAAAAAGAGCATATGGATCTTCAAGGTCCTATAAGCCACACCGCCCTTTGTCTGCAATGTCTGTTTCCATAGTGTCACCCAAACTGGTGATGGCATGAATTTGGGAAGAGGGAAAAAAAAAAAAAAAAAAAAAAAAAACATATCTTCTTTGATTCCTTGATGTCAAGTGGTGATCACGAAACACGACCACAATGTTGAGCGGGGCCATGGCACACAACACAGGCACTACCGTCTTCACCCGAGTAGAACGCCTGGTCATTATAGCTGTATCCAGACATGGCGATAATTACTGGGCGTTCTATTCTGGTGAAAACGGTAGTCGTCAATCAACCTGACTACCTTCAACGCATGCACTACCAAGTTGTCAATGAACCTGACTACCTTCTTACCCCGAGTACAACATGCGGTCATCATAGCTGTATATAGACTGAAAGATACCTTAAATACGGCTATAATGACCGTACATTGTATGCGGGTAAAGAAGGTAGCCATGTTGTTAACCTTGGGACTGTGGGAACTGGGACCATTGGAACGGTCCCAACTAACCGCAAACACAAGCTCAGAGGTTCATGTGGAGAATCTTTTTTTTTTTTTTTTTTTTTTTTTGGGACAAATGCTCCAATCTATTCGTGGGGAGCAGCACATGCTGGAAACCGGGTCCAGCGTCCCATACGGACTTTTACAAAACATGTAAAGAGTCGGAACCATTGCCCTGCTTTGGCTAAGAGTTAGCTGAGAGTATTAATGAGAATTATTTGAAAACCATGAGCAACTATTACCTTGAATCTCGAATCCGCAGAAGATTTCAGCCTAGAACCAAAATGCTTTAGTGCTGTTCGGCCGCCTACTCTAAGCCTACCTCAACCCCCATGTCCTCTATACTCGGTCTCTACCCGGCCTCACAACCCCAACTGCTAGGTAACAGAGTGGCACGACCCACTCCAGAATAATCCCCCACCTGCTGGGCTACAGGGCGAAGCGACTCACCCCGGCTCCGACCAACGTCGTCCGAGTATCAGCTTGCCAACAGACACTGGAGTGCCTTCCACCCTCGACAACTCCCCCGATCTCTCTACCAGGCCCCTTGCCCCCGTACAGCTCAGGTTACAGGGCAGCGCGACCACGCCCCGGCACCGACCAGCGTCGTTCTGGCCTCGTCCGTTCACAAACCTCTGAGTTCATGGGTGTCAGTAAACATCAGACAAGCCGCCAACATCACCATAACAATGGTTCCAATGCCTCCAACTCCTACAAGTGCTGGTTGCAGTCCTTCATCAACCCCATGCATCTATCCTTCACAACCCCACTCCGGCAAGATTTACCACAGTAGAGCCATCATCCCTACCACTGCTATGCCCTACATCCATCCTGCTAACAAGCCTTCCTCGCCGCAGGACGCAATACCAACCTTACTACCAGACTGTCATACCAAACAATACACTACCTCCCCACTACAACTAGCATCCCACTTTTTAAGAATTTTAAGAAAATTTTGAAAACTCAGAAAAGTCAAAACACAGCCGACCTGAAAAAAATTAGGAAATATCCCTACATCCAAAAGGAGAACAGGAGGGAGAAAATATCCTCTCTTCTATTGCAGGTTCCAGCGTTCACCCGGGACTCCACAACACGAAGTCACTCCTTCCCTCAAAAAACAACCCCCCTGTTCCTACACTGCCTCCACCGGCAGGCGCCCCCTCTCCTCTCGGCCCCAGTTCGGAACAGCCTCTAACCGGTCACTTCAACCCCCTAAACGGCATAAAATTCCCCCTAGAGTATACCCCATTGGGCTGAAGTTCCCCCTTTCCTTCTGCCCCAACCCCTCCAGGCAAGGCAGCCCTCTCATCCTCGCACCCTGCTGTAAGCAGCTTCATCCCCTTGCCTTCTCTCCCCAGCCGCCAGAGCTGATCGGAGTCCAAATCAGCCTCACCCAGAAAAGGACAATCCCTCAATACCGCCTCCTCCCCTTCCAGGGTAACACCTCCCACCTTGTGAAACCCTCCGGGGACTCACAAAGCAAGACTCAAATACACCGTACAAAGTCTCAGGCAAACTTGAAACACAATCAACCATTTGAAAAACGAAAAAACCAATCAGAATCAGAATTCGCAGCAACAGTAATCAAAACTAGAAGATTGTCTTTGCAGACACAAATTTTTCCAAATCTCACTTAGAAAATTACTGAGAAAATTACCCTGGTGAAAAACCAGCTCAGAATTTAATTTTGAAATGGGAACTTCAAGATCAGGAAGGTTTGCATCAATTTTTTTTCCGACGAACATCAGAACTAAGCACATTAGAATCAAGGGTTTCAAAACAAGATATACGATCTAAAATTTGACTCGGAGATTTGAGCAAATGAAAAAAAGAAATCAGAACTTACTTCTGAATTGCGAACTTCAAGATCAGGAACTTTATTTTAACAAAGTTTGTAAAACTTTGTATCAATTTTATCCATTCTCCTCTCCTGGAAGTCGAAAAGGCACTTTTGGTACACCGATTGACATTTTTTCTCCTATTTTTTTATAACGCTTTCAAGCAAAAGCACTGAAAGATGACATATAGCAAAAAATATGTTTCCAATGCCAATAAAATGTTACCCATCCTATCGTATTTAGCATCCAAAATACAACTAGATAAAAAACATCCCAAGCTGAAATATCACAAGTACCGCCTCTTCCCGGTCCATCACATGGAAAACTATAACCGAATTCTTTTTTATCTGGCATGAGTTTTGACCTATGAATACAAATACTTATGCAATTATTCAAATGGGCGGACAACAGCTTCAAGTCCAAACTGGTCGATTTTATGATACTTGTGACTTTTCAAGTCACACGCCAAAATAGAGTAATGTGTCAATCACGACGCCTAAATTTATTCAATTAGTTTCAAAAATATCTTAATTGAATCCAAATTGTGATCCAACATGCCATCTTTTTCTTCAAGGATCTTTGAAAAATACAAAATTTATTATTAATTAAAATAAAGTTTTTATTTTAATACTAATAAATAAAAGAAATCAAACCCTCATTTTATTGCAACTTCTAAAAAAACTGTTAGAAAATATAACTAGGAAAGATAAAGAGGAAAAACCTGATTATAAGTATATGTACTTAATAGCCTTCTCTTCTTTAGATTCTTTATATTTAGATTTTGTTATTGATTCGGATTTTATGATCTATTTAATGAATAGCCTATTAGATTCATATTCCTAATCGTAAAAAAACGATGAAATACGTAATTATAAGAATAAAAAACTAAGCTATATATAAGAGAATCTATCTTATTTACAGAATATACAAGAAGCTCTTAACATGGGGC